ATATTTAATTTCATTATACTGCTGTAATAATAGGCTGGTAAAAACTTTGAAAAAGGCTCTGAACCTGCACTGGGTTTGGCACCTGGTTATAAGCCACTACAACCTAGCTCAGACATTACTTATGATATTGCTGATGAGGACATACCTGAAACCTTTGATCCCCGGGTTCAATGGCCCGAGTGTTACACCGTTAAGGAGATTAGAAATCAAGGGTGTTGTGGTAAGATTTAATATATAATTTTTATATTATAGTATTTTTAATCATTGCACACAAAAATAATTTTAGAATTGTTACTTTAAATAATAAATACTCATTTTATTTTACTTATCTTATTTAATTTAAATAAATTAAATTAAATTTTTTATAATTGACCAGGATCGTGTTGGGCATTCTCTACATCCGAAGTCATATCTGACCGCATATGCATTGCATCGCAAAACAAACAGCAGGTAGAGGTCTCTGCTGAAGATGTCCTAACCTGCAGTGGGGCCGGTGATTGCGAGGGTGGCTTTCCTAGTAGTGTGTTTGACTACTATGTCGATGAAGGTGTTATCAGCGGTGGTCTAGTGGACAGTCATAAAGGTTGTCAGCCCTACACCATAATCGGTGACCACCCGTGCGCTTCGTACGTACCGACCCCTAAGTGTCAAAAGTCGTGTATCGCGGGCTATAACCGTACGTACACTCAGGACAAGCATTTCGGTAGTAAATCCTATGGCGTGAGTACTAAACAGGTTCAAAAAGAGCTTATGACTAATGGACCTGTGGCAGCTACATTCACGGTATGCAATAAAGTTTTAATAATAAAACTTGATAAATTATATACAACAAAATAATACAAAATCTTATTTAATAAATTTAATTTAGGTTAGAGTAGATATAATTTAAACAATTTTAAAACAGTTTTTTAAAACTATTTACATACATTTTAAAGATACTTACTTTTTTATTTTAATTATTTCAACAAGGTGTACAACGATTTCTTCTCGTACAAGACCGGTGTCTACCACCACGTGACCGGTCAGGCAGAGGGTGGTCATGCGGTCAAACTTTTGGGTTGGGGTGTGGAAAATGGTGTCGACTATTGGTTGGTGGCCAACTCGTGGGGCACCGTATTTGGAGAGAAAGGTTACTTCAAAATTAGGCGAGGTCATAACGATTGCGGATTTGAGGGTGGTTTCGATGCCGTAACACCGAAGTTAGAGTAATACAGACCATGATGTAAATAAATTATGTTGAACAGTTAAAATTAAAAATTATCATTACTGATTAAATGTTGTGAATTTTATTTTAGTTAAATGAATATTGTTTTAGTTTTAGTATAATATTAAATGTCACTCAGCGGTTTAATATAACAAAGAAATATAATGGGTAAAGGGCAAATGTCTATAAGGTATTATATGAGATATATTGGGTTATGTTCATAGAAAATTAAACTAATATACTGAACTTGATGCTTTTTTGAAATATTGACTAATTAATGTGTGATGGAACAGGGTGATATCAGGAAACACCTTTAATGCAAAAAACACCCTACTCTGCTATTGTGTTTTCCTCATAAATTATGTATATGTTTTGGGTCGGTCAATCTAATGATTAAATTTTTATCTATATGCGCCTATTTTAAAGTTATAACATTGACGGCAAATGGAAACAATAAATAGAATTCCTTTGACAATGTACCATATTAATTTATGTACAGTATATGAGCCAGTGAAAGTTGAAGGGGACTCTGTACTCTCCATGAATAATACAGTATTTATATTGATTAAGGTTTATTGGGATATCAATACAATAAAAAATAAAGCATTCAATCCTAATTATTTTAAAACATTAAAACTACAGAGTTCCCTTCAACTTTCACTGGCTCATATAATCTTTATTTAAAAAGTATAAATATAAAACCCTATTTAACACTGTTTTACTTAATACATATTATTTGATAAAAATAACTTTTTTTTAATTTTCAAAATATTTATGTAATTTTTATCGGAGTTTGAGTAACCCACTGAATGAAACTTGGTAATATTGAAAATGAATAAACATTGTTGAATGAATTATTATTGATTTATTTTAGTTTCAAAATTGAGCTTTCTTATACAATAGATCACCGTGGAATAATAATAACAATGATCTGATTGGTCACCACCATTATTACAGTACAAGTCCACTGTTATTCAATGGGGTTACGAAAGTAAAGTCTATATTGGTACTGGTACATTTTGAGGCACATTTGCCCACAATCTCAAACCCTGCGTACAATCCCTTTAGCTTTTTAAGGCCAGTATTACTCGAGCACCCGCTCTGGTCGGTAGCCACCCATAGACCGGTGTCCCAAATGGCGTCACCATCGCACGGACCACCAGATAGCACTCCACACTCCGTGTACTCGAAGTTACCTTGTTTATTTGTATAATTATTAAGTTTAATGATTAAATTGGTTATTAATATAATGATAGATATGATTAAGTTATAAAAATACAAACCATTATTAAGGCTATAGATTCCCGTATGCTGCGGCGAGTATAGCGGCACCGGCAGTTTACCCTGGTGACCATCAAACGTAACGTTGTTTGTAAAGCCCAAGTACCCGAAACAAGTATATGGTTTGGTGATTGTGGTGTTAACTGTTATTCCCGTTAGATATGACCCCGATTCACACTTATAGTTCTCGATGTCAACCATGCTGTCCATCACCAGGGCTGACGAGGCTGCCGGCGCAACAATATTAATATTAACACTATTACCAAATTATCGGCATATTTATTATAAAACAAACTTTTATTTATTTGCTTTAAATTCTGACTGTTCATATGAATTATTTATTTATTAACTATGTTGAATTCAAATTTAATTTTACGTTTAAATCATGCATTAACATAATTTTTTGATCTACAATAATTACTAATGTTAGAGGTATTAGTATCTGAGCTCAGGTAGATAGTGAATGTTAATCTATAGCTTTAATACTTACAAACTGACGTAGCTGGGTTTGGATAATTTAGTGGCAGTAAATCTGAACAAATACAAATTCATAATGTATATATTATTTTTTAAAATACCGACTAATATAATTATACAATTTATAACATACTTTTGCAATAAGCCTGGCCAATTGCACCGGTAGCATTAGTAACGCCACATGAACCTCCACTAACAATGCCCTCAGCGGCGTTGGCTAACTTTCCGATGAACGCACCCTTTGCTGTCAACATGGCTGAGCCCGCATTTAGTGCGCCTGTAGTTTTTTTTATTATACCATATTCATTGCTATTTATATTAAAAATAATATTAAAAATTAAAAAAACATACCCTGAGCTAATCCGGTCTTGATTTTGATGTCCTCATTGATCAGATCACCAGCTGCTCCACCAATAGTGCCGATTGTCTGTCCCATAGCAGAGACACCCTTATTGATGGCATCACCAATACTTTTGAAATACGCCTGGCCATATGCCATCGGATTTCCAGTGGGTTTCAACAGGGACTGAGCGCTCAAACCAATGCAAGCACTTAATAGAAATATTAACTTGCTCATCATATTTATTATTTGAATGACTTGTGAATTTGTATATTTGGAAATTACTTTTAATTGTAACAAATGTAATGTTATTATTGCACTCTTTTTCGTACGTATTTATAGTTTTAGTAGATTTTGTGAAACTAATACTAATAGTAATCATCGATTTAACCATGTCAAATAAATTTTAATTAATTGCTTAAAAATACTGGACTTAAGTATAGGAAATAGTTATATGTTATAATGTGTAAATCATTGTTGTGCACATGTATCCTGGTATAACAAAATTCTCATAAATTTATCATGGTGTTTTGTAAACCATTTGACACTTTTAAACATTTCTCTCATTATTTATTATCTATGTTATGGTGTGCAACTTTAATTAATTGTTAAATAGCAAACAACTAGCAATCAATAACGTGTTTTTAATCCTGGTCAGATTTATTCATTTAACCAGTGATTAAGAAAATATATTTCTTAATTAAACGATTAATCAAATAATAATTTTTAAAATTTAATCTTAATAATAATAATAATAAAAATAGTAAAATTACAACACATTGATTATTGATTTAATTATGACATTTTAATTTTTATTAATAAATCTTATTTAATTGTGTTCAATTTATAATGAAACAACATTATATTATTTATAACCTATTTATGCCCATAATTAATGACAACAAATGTGTCAAAAGTGTCAAATGTTTTAATTAACATCATGCACAATCTATTAGGATTTTAACAGGATGCATGTGCACAACAATGATATAAACATTATATTAATAGCATACAACTATTTCCTATACTTAAGTTCAGTTTTTTAAAACAATTAATTAAAATTTATATAGTAAATATTTATTCTACCAATATAAATTATCACTCGGTTAATTTTTACACAATTTTCACTTTTGGTAGAAATTATATATTTTTTATAATCAATTGACATAAGTCACAGATGTAATAATATGATAGACTAAATGTACTAGTAAATCATGTTTGTATACATATAACTAATAGTATAAGTGCAAAATTTTGGCATGCTTTTAGTCATTAAAAGTTATGCATAGATAAAACAATAACTACCAAACAATACCTGAATTCCTTAACTTTACTGTATCATCAATTGCCCTGGTCATGCATTATAAAATTTATTAAATAGAATGCTTAATAGAATGCAAGGTGTATAATATTGCATAATTTGTTTGAAAATTAAATGTACTGCATTTAAGTACTGATATGTGCATATTAATAAAAAAAATCATGCGACTGACCGACCCAGTACATATACATAATTTATGTGAAATAACACAACAACAAAGTAGGGATAACGTGCGTTAACACTTTAAGTGTTTTTTGTATTAAAGGTGTTTCTTGATATCACCCTGTTCCATCACACATTAATTAATCAATATTTCAGAAATAAGCATTAAGTTCAGTATATAAGTTTAATTTTCTATGAACATAACACAATATATCCCAACATTTAATCAATAATGATAATTTTGAATATTAACTGATCAAAATAATTTATTTACACCATGGTCAGTTTTACTCTAACTTCGGTGTTACGGCATCGAAACCACCCTCAAATCCGCAGTCGTTATGACCTCGCCTAATTTTGAAGTAACCTTTCTCTCCAAATACGGTGCCCCACGAGTTGGCCACCAGCCAGTAGTCGACACCATTTTCCACACCCCAACCCAAAAGTTTAACCGCATGACCACCCTCTGCCTGACCGGTCACGTGGTGGTAGACACCGGTCTTGTACGAGAAGAAATCGTTGTACACCTTGTTGAAATAATTAATATACAAAAAGTAAGTATATTAAAATTTTTGAAGCTATTAAAAATTATATAGACTATATCATTAGTACTCTATACTAAACTAATTTTTTTATATTAAAGCTGTATATGAATTATCATGATTTATAATCAAAATTTTATTGCATACCGTGAATGTAGCTGCCACAGGTCCATTAGTCATAAGCTCTTTCTGAACCTCTTTAGTACTCACGCCATAGGATTTACTACCGAAATGCTTGTCCTGAGTGTACGTACGGTTATAGCCCGCGATACACGACTTCTGGCACTTAGGGGTCGGTACGTACGACGCGCACGGGTGGTCACCGATTATGGTGTAGGGCTGACAACCTTTATGACTGTCCACTAGACCACCGCTGATAACACCTTCATCGACATAGTAGTCAAACACACTACTAGGCCAACCACCCTGGCAATCTCCAGCCCCACTACAGGTTAGAACATCTTCGGCAGAGACCTCTACTTGTTGTTTGTTTTTTGATGCGATGCATATGCGGTCAGATATGACTTCCGATGTAGAGAATGCCCAACACGATCCTGGTCAATTATATAATATTTATTTTAATTGAATTTAAATTTTATTTTTAAAAAATTAATTATCTTATATTATGTTTTTTATCTATATTATATACTGTATTTATGCTATAATTAAGCTTATTTGCATCTACAGCCTAACAATTTATAATTTAAAAATTATTACATATACCTCAAATGTTAATTAAAATATCTTAAACTAATTTAAGTTAAAGCTTTGTAATCTTGTTAAAATTATCTATTATAACTTTTAAAATAATTTTAGATTTAACCTACTTAATCATTGAATCATAAAATCCTCATGTATTTTTCAATACAAATTGTACACTTAATGTAAAATTTTGCTACTGTACTATTTACGCAATGACTATGCTATGTATACAGTTTGCATTCAAAAATACATACTGGTTTTATGTATATTGTGACTCAACTATTGTTATTAATTAAAATTTAACAATTGAATTAAATAATAATTTTATATAATTGATATTATTGATAAATAAATTTCATACCGCAACACCCTTGATTTCTAATCTCCTTAACGGTGTAACACTCGGGCCATTGCACCCGGGGATCAAAGTTTTCAGGTATGTCCTCATCAGCAATATCATAAGTAATTTCTGAGCTTGGGGTTAGTGGCTTATAACCAGGTGATAGACCCAACGCAGGTTCAGAGCCTTTTTCAAAGTTTTTACCAGCCTATTAACACAACAAAATAATGAAATTAAATATACATGCTCACTTAATATAAATATTTCAAATATATTACAAACCTTCCATGTCGTGCTCAAGCTATTTACGTAGTCAATTTGGCTACCGTGAGCAAGATAAACTGTTAAAGTAACTCCTAATAAGACTTGAACCAGCATCATTTTTAATTGTTATAGTTAGACTAATTTTATTATTTTTTATACACCTCTCAGTTTAAATAGTAAATAAATAATCTACCCACTTCAATTTATCACTCGGTTGGTGGTATGAAAAACTTATGACTTTTCGTAGAAATTTTTATAATTTCTCTTGTCATTTGACATAGGTGATACAATAATCGTACCTTAATCTACAAATAAACTAAATATTCTATTGTTGTACCTCTATTTAGAAACTGTTTTTAATGCATTTGCCTCGTACCATTATTTCCAAATTGCACTGAAACAATAGATATTAGTATACATGCTTTAATCAGCTTATTTTTTAGTATTTTAGTAATGTGTACTTTGTCACTTATGTTTTCAAGGTCATACGTTTTTTTATAATAAAGGATATAAATTGATAAATATCAGTTTGTCAGAGTAATCATTCAACAAATTGTAAAAAATAGAATTACATAATGGATCATGTCCGATTAATTTCTATTTATTTTAAGACACTTTCTAAGGCAAAGATCAGATAAATGATCCTGTTCGTTGATACAATTGATAATCTTAAAATCACTATAAGTTTAATTAAGTAAAATTAACTACCGTATAATAGAACTTTATTATTATAAAAATTAATTAAATAATTTTTTAAATAAAAATATTTAATCATAACATACTGTAATCTTAAATAATGTATTTTGTTCCCATAAATTATTATACTACACATCGTAATAATTGCCTTGTTTATATAAAAATGAAAGCAATTAATTATTAAAAATAGCTTTCATTAATGTCATCAAGGTAATCCGTTGATAAACATTTTAATAATCATAAAATTATATTTATATATTTTCTTTTAATTTCAATCATAATCTATTTTTATAATAAGTAACATCTAATTACAATAAGTAAAATGTTAATTAACGCATTTACTGCCACTTATATATGAATAAATTATTGTAATTAATAGAAAATATAAAATATAATTATATGATAATTAAAATGTTGTTTGTAATAACCTTGATGACATAAACAAAACAATTATTTAATAAATTTTATCGAAAAACTTATTTTCAATGCAATAACTTATTGCTGGATTTTATTATAAATTTATTTATTGAATTCTTAACATGCTGTTTATATTTAATGAACAATATTTTGTATAGACACTAGAGTACTGATAAATTATTTATAAAATATTACATTTTAAATTAAAGTTAGTAAATTTATTTAATCAAAAAATGCTACAATTTAACCGTGATAGTTTTATTAATGCATTACTGATCGCTATATGTTTGATGGGATGTATGTATCAAACGTATAAAATAAGTGAACTATACTTCGGATACCAAACCACTACTAATGTCCGCTACGATAAATCAACACTTGGGACCATTTCGTACCCAGCTATGACTCTATGTGTAGATAAATATAATGTGGTCAATAGGAGTATGGTTGGAAATGAAACCGATTATAAGAAAATTTTAGATCAAGTAAATAATTCCACAATTAAACAACAATTTCAATTGCTTATAAAATTAAGTACAATTTTTAATTACACTGGTAATTTGGAAAAACCCCCTATTATCGCAATAAATAAATATCATTATTGTTTTACATTATTATGGGAACATAAGAATAATACGAATTTAAGGAATTTAAATTTTTATGGCTCCAAAAATGTTGATCATGTTAGTATTCTTATAAATCCAAAATATTTCATAAGCAATGATCTTAATATTACATTACATCCACGTACATTGCGTTTAACTAATAATTACGATCATCAAGCAGAAATAACAATAATTAAAGACTCGTATAGCGTAGTTACATATAAACAAACCATTGTTCACAATAAACATTTAGATAGCTGTCATCAAAGTGTTAGAAGGGACGAATACATATATAATTGTGTAGAGAATAATATACGCGGAAATTCATCAAGCAAAAAAATATCAGTGATTACGTTAATAAGCGACAAATTTAATAATCAGCAATTCAGTAATTATGACATTTCAAGAAGCTATCATAAGAGTTATGATAAATGTAACCATGAATACGACCGATTGAATGTGTGCATTCAATATTATTATACCGTTAATACGAATAGCAGTAAAGATTATGACCTTGATAATAAATTCGAATTATATATATATATTCAAAGGGAACCGACGACTGTATACGAGATATCACTGAAAATGTCTTTCGAGGAGTACTTGAGT